TATATATATATATATATATAATTTCGAACTTATAAAAATGGCAAAAACACCAACAATTACTATTAAAAAAACAGAAAATATATATAAAAATTGTAAATATATGTATAAAAAAAAACCTATTCAAAATATTCATAAAAGTGATGATAGTATCTCAATGTTATTGAAATAGCACTGTTACAAACGGCAAATAAATACCTTGAAAGGAGCCTCTCCTGGATAGGATGCTGTTAGGGCTCTGTATGAGTTTGCTAATGTGGTTGGATGGGGTGTGATGGGGACGGGGGTCCGGTGGGTCTTCCCTGATGCTGTTATCATCGTCACACAGCCACTCCTCACAGCAGCGTCCCGGCGGCGTCTCCAGACGAGGGTTGGCACAGTGTCTGCGGGGCAGAGGGATGTTGTGTGGACACAGCGGCATACAGCCCACCACACCATCCATACAGCTGCACTGGTGCTGACAGCTGGGCTGGAAATCCTCTCCGTGCTGATACACACCACCAGCAAACTCACACGGACGGCCCTGAGCCTCAGCTGAGACATGCACACGATAAACGTCACGCATTTCTGTAGTCAAGAGCCTGGGATGTAACAACTCTGTGCTTAATATTTAACATGCTGGAATCCAGACATATAAAAATGATCTAACAAATATTCTAATCTCTTTTGGGTCATACTGGGTCAGACTAATATTAATTAAAACATGTATTTACTGTAGGATTAGTGTTTGGATTAGTGTTAGTTGCTTGTAATTACACATAATTATTGTGTTATTAATATAGTAAATGCTTGTAACTTGTAACAAGGACACATTAAAATAAATTGTTACCCATTGTTGGAGTAAAACTTGCAAAGGCTTTGGAATAACAAGAAGTTAGCAGGCAGACGATTAAGTTTGGATTTATAAAAAAAAATAGCTTCTTATAAACAATTTACTTCATTTGTAGTTTTCAGCTACTACTTTTGCATACACACACATTATATGTATGTATGTATGTATGTATGTATGTATATATATATATATCTGTCAATATGGGGTGCTGTGTGTACATTAATGAGGAAAAAAAATGATCTTAAATGATTTTAGCAAATGGCTGCAATATAACAAAGAGTGAAAAATGTAAGGGGGTCTGAATACTTTCCGTACCCACTGTATATAACAATCAAAAACAAAATGAAATGTTCTATTTTTAGGTTAAAATTGCAGTGAAAGTGAAAATTTCCTAATTGTATCATATATTGTAAATGTATTATAAATTTATAGCATTTATATTATGATATTAAATTTATATAATATAATATATACATGTTCTTAACTTTACATAACTTTCAAATATAACATTTGTAATTTTTCACTACTGCGCTGGCAACTATATACAGATTTTATATGTATATTTTAGAAAAGGGTTTTCTCTACAATGTTTCACATGACATCAGTATTGGGGACAGTGACTCTGCTATTTATTTATATATTTATTTATTACAAATTGTTCAAACATATACCAAATGATTTTTTTTTTAATCTTCTCAAGTCAAATTGAGAAAACAGAGAAAGTGAAAATTCCCTGATTTTAATATAATTTATAGATTATATAATGATATAACATTCTTATATAATTTCTTATATATTTATTATAGAGAAGGTACCCTATAGTTGACCTTTTAAATTTAAAACATTTAAAAAATACACAATTAAAATAATTGAAGGGAACAGAAAAGTTCTCCTAACTGAATAGTCACCCACTAACACTCAGATCTGTCTCAGTGATGTGTTTTTCTTACCTCTGCAGAGACCACGCCGAGGGTCCCCTCCGGCCCCTAGGTGGCAGCGCAGGCCCTTGATGTGGTCACAGGGTCGGTCAGGGCCACAGTCCTGGTTGAACTGTTGGGCGCACACCTTACAGCAGCCGCACTCATCCAGCACCCAGCTCACTCCGAGCGGACAGGAGGGTGGAGACGGGAGGCAGGAGCAGGGACGGGAACAGCCTCTGGACACCTGCGGGAACAGCAGAGAGAAGAGCACACAGCTTCAGCCCTTCACTTCAATACATAAGGCCAGCAGTCAGAAATGAAAGGCTTTCACAGAGATGACAGCGTAGGAGTTGTTAGGCCAATGTTTTTGTAAGTTTGTCTGAGTGGGTTCGGCTGTGTTTATATAATACACTCACTTAGGTGTCTGCGTTTGAAATGCGACTGTAGAATCGAATCATAAATATACACTGTAAGATCAACTGTGCCGTTGCTACCATTAGAAGCTATTTCTACCTGATGTGATCCCCATAAACAAATACTTTCTTGATGCAATCTATGCTCAAAAGGTCATGTTTATAAAATTTAAATATTAAAGTAAAATAAAAAAATAAAAAAAATAAAAACGGATTAAAAATAAATGTATTTCATACACATATAAATAAAATTTTGTAAATAATGATTTTGAATAAAAGTGTCTTATGCTCACCAAGGATTATGCTCACATTTGTTTGATCCAAAATACAGTAAGAAATGAAATATTATTACAATTGAATATATAGTTGAATATATTTTAAAATGTAATTTATTTCTGTGATGCAAAGCTGAATTTTCAGCATCATTACTCCAGTCTTCATGATCCTTCTGAAATCATTCTAATAGGCTGCTCAAGAAACATTTATTATTATTATCAATGTTGAAAATAGTTGTGCTTGTGATACATTTTTTCAATATTCTCTTAGGAACAGAAACTTCAAAAGAACAGCATTTATTTGAAATAGATACATTTGTAACATTACTGTCTATACTGTCACTTTCCATCAATTTAATACATCCTTGCTGATTAAAAATATTAATTTCATGTCTTTTTGACACTCAACTTTTGAACAGAAGTGTATATTTTGACTTTCAATAAAATATATTTTTATAAATTAAAAAATTAATTAAATCATGTACAATTTAGCTTTTACCACATAAAAACACAATGTTTTTATCTTCATATGTCAAGGAAACAACATTTTTGAGGGTTTTTTTTTGCACACACTCAATCAGTTTTCAGAACGTCTGAAATAGAAAAGATCAAATTACTTGAGCTGAAATCTAACAAATAGCTGCTTCCATTATTTCAAAATGTTTTATCCTTAATAAATAGCATTAAAAATATTAATTTCATGTCTTTTTGACACTCAACTTTTGAACAGAAGTGTATATTTTGACTTTCAATAAAATATATTTTTATAAATAAAAAAATTAATTCAATCATGTACAATTTAGCTTTTACCACATGAAAACACAATGTTTTTATCCTCATATGTCAAGGAAACAACATTTTTGAGGGTTTTTTTTTGCACACACTCAATCAGTTTTCAGAACGTCTGAAATAGAATAGATCAAATTACTTGAGCTGAAATCTAACAAATAGCTGCTTCCATTATTTCAAAATGTTTTATCCTTAATAAATAGAAATGAATTCACATAAGGAAGTATCAGAGTACAACAACAATAGCCGGTTTGTAAGGAAGGATGGGAAAAAATTGTCCTACACAGCCTTCAACAGATTTCTTCTGCAATGTCTAAGTTACATGTGTGCAACATACTGGCTCCAATCTACTCACCTCTACTTCAGCTGGGCATACAACAAACATCAATACGGTGCAAATAACAGCCAGAGTCCTCTGATTCCTTCCAGAATACATTTCCAAGCTTTCCAAAAAATGAATACCAAAGTAAAAAAAAAAAAAAGTACAAATCCCCAGTGCAAAAGCAGGTTTATCCACTTTTATTCTAAATGACTCCAAAGAATTCAGAGGGCAAATGTTCCAAAGCTAGTCCAGTTACAAAACGCATCAGTCAGACTAGTTACTAAGCTAAAGGTATAGCAAGACTCAAACACAGATGCCTTGTCAGTTTTACAGAGCATTTCCAAAGAGGCAGGTCACCTTATAGAGCGAGCGCGCGCGCGCGAGAGAGAGAGAGAGAGAGAGAGAGAGATGTCTCTGACATCAGCATGGTCAGAGCAGTGGGAGAGTGTCTCCATAATGAGGGGATCCCTTATTATTTGTGTTGCTGGAGCTCTAGGGAGCAGGGTGTGAATGCAAAACTGCAAAATGAGACTGGAGATCTCAGTAGTGTGGATTACAAACGACAGTTAAATGAAACAAAACCACCCAGACACTTAATACAGAGCTAACAAACGCGCTCAAGCAGGGTGTGATCACCTGACCACACGGTTTAATTGGCTGTTTGTTATGTGTTACGAAAGCCGCCCTGGAGAGCTTAAAAACATTGTCATAATAGTGGAACAATTGAGAAGGGAACTCCAGCCGTTTTCCGTTTGGATGGGAAGTCCTGAAGAAGATGCAAAGGAAAACCCCCATAAACAATTCAGCTCTCACACACGCTTCCCACTCATACACGAAACACACTTCTACTTTCCTCGCACACCGAGCGCTTCCTGTTGCGCTTTCTCACTTCCTCTAAGCGTTTCCTACCAGCGGCTACATTCAGGAAACTCCGGCCGTTCACACAGGTTCCCGTGTTTTTGTAGGAAAATCAAAACATTCTCATCATTGTCATCTTGTAAGGACATGAAAAGTGTTTTCTATTCAGTTGCAGGAAGAGCTCTCCGTTGGGCCTCAGGTTTGTGTTATGAAATCCTGGAAGAGAGTAAGATCTCCAGTGTCTGACCTCCAGAGACTGCTTTCATATAACTCATATAACAACTTTCAGGCAGTCACTTCAACACCATTCCTTCAGATTTTTATTGGAATGAAACACCTGATTCAAATTTGATTCAAATATGAGTGATGTATATTTTTAAATAATATTATATGCTTTTATTTAATCAAAAGTGTTAGGAATAGCCTCCAAAGCAACAATGAGATTAAACAGAGAGCAAATGGAGACTTGCAGTAAGTTTTGTACTTTTCAGATTTTTCTCCCGAGAAATAAATCCTAGTAATCTCACGTCTCCCATAGAGTTTAAGACATCTCAACAATGTCTCAAACTGTGCTCAGATTTGTGAAGATATCAAAGTCTGCCTTTTAAAAAAATCTAAGGTTTCAAAATGATTATTTTTTTCAGATTCTTCCAAGAATATATTATCTGAGCAATCCACAATTGTGCACTCTTAAAAATACAGGTTCTTTATTGGCATCTTTGCTTCCATAAAGAACGTTTTAACACCCATGGATGCTTTCCATTGCACAAAAGGTGCTTTTGCAGAAAAAGCTTCTTTTGGATTTTTAATAAGAGAAAAATGGTTAGTTTAAGAACTGTTCACTGAAAGGTTCTTTGGAGAGCCGAAAATGGTTCTTCTATCTATGGCATCACTGTGAAAACCCCCTTTTGGAACCTTTATATTTAAGTCTGTATATCTTTATAGGCTTTATTTTTCTCTCACCATATATAAACAGTTTGAACAGTTATGGCTGTCACCTATTAAAGCAATTTCAAAATATAAAAGTAGCTGTAAATAGACACAATATATCATAATGCAATAAACACAAATGAATAGATTATACAGTTCTGTCCTTTCTACTGTCACAACAGTCTTTGATGTAATCACGTTTTCATATACAGTGGGTACGGAAAGTATTCAGACCCCCTTAAATTTTTCACTCTTTGTTATATTGCAGCCATTTGCTAAAATCATTTAAGTTAATTTTTTTTCCTCATTAATGTACACACAGCACCCCATATTGTTATTTTAGCTGTGTGCTTATTCATCTTTCCCTCGATTGCAACCAGTCGTCCTGTCCCTGCAGCTGAAAAACACCCCCACAGCATGATGCTGCCACCACCATGCTTCACTGTTGGGACTGTATTGGACAGGTGATGAGCAGTGCCTGGTTTTCTCCACACATACCGCTTAGAATTAAGGCCAAAAAGTTATATCTTGGTCTCATCAGACCAGAGAACAGGAGGATTTCAGCTCTGACAGTGTGAGTGTGATTGTGCATCTATGTGTGTGTTTGTGGTATGCACCTCACACGGTGCCCTTTATGCAAATACCATATAAAAATAGGAATCACAAGGAGGGTCAGCTTAGTAGTAATTCTTGCACTATTTGGGAGAGCCGTTTATCAACCCAGAGAGAAGAAGAAGAAGAAGGGAGAGCAAAGGAGGTGGCCAGAATTCCAGAGATTCCTGTCCCACAAAAGCAGGATATGTGCACTGGCCCTCTCACGCTGAATGATGACGGAGAGAAGAGGTCATTAAAACCAGGGTGAGAGAGGGAGGGTGTTATGAACATTTGCTATTAGACAGTCTGGCCCAATCCCAGCCATTGTTACTGGACCAGACAAACATTTCCAAAGCAGAGATCAAATGGACAAGGTTATATACACCAAATAATGCATAGTCTTCATTGTCTATTTCTTAAGAAAGCATCTATGTACTAGTGCGTTAAAAAGCCCAGAAGCCAAATGTGACCGTGGACCACAAAACCAGTCATAAGGGTAAATTTTTCGAAATTGAGATTTATACATCATCTGAAAGCTGAATAAATAAGCTTTCCATTGATGTATGGTTTGTTAGGCTAGGACAATATTTGGTCGAGATACAACTATTTGAACTATTCAAGTTGTCCAAATGAAGTTCTTAGCAATACATATTACTAATCAAAAATTAAGTTTTAATATATTTACAGTGCAAATTTACAAAATATCTTCATGGAACATGATCTTTACTTAATATCCTAATGATTTTTGGCATAAAATAAAAATCTATAATTTTGACCCATACAATGTATTTTTGGCTATTGCTACAAATATACCCCAGCGACTTAAGACAGTGAGAAACCAAAGATGCACAGTCACTCCAAGAATACTATAGGCCTACAGTGAAAAACAATTCTTTGCTGAACCCAAGAACATTGAAGAACCTTTATTTTGAAGAGAACCTTTATATTTAAAACTCTCAGAAGTGTGCTTAATTGTACTGAATGTGCACTTGTAGTGTACTTCAAATCTTATAAGCATATATATATATATATATATATATATATATACTGTATATATATTAAAACTGTAGGGGAGACCGGGGCAATAACTGCTAATTTAAACTTATATTTTATCTCTAGGTTATTGATAAAAAGTTAACATGAACAACCTATGCTAATAAAGGCGTGGCTAGCTAGCATATGAGATTTTATCATGGCTGCAACATCGGGGGCAATTGTAACATTGTGTTACCCCGAACCACATGGCCCACTGTAAGCACCTGGTTTGTCCGTGTTGACATACTTTTCTGTTAGAAAATGAGCATTTAAATGTAAAACTACATTTAAAAATTATTAGTTTTACACGTTAAATAATGAGTTGCTTTTTTAAAAATAAAATGAATATTATCTACACATGATCTCATTTAGTTATTCTGTTAATATGTTACTTGCAGATAATATAATATGACCAAAATAAAAGTGTACTTAAATAGAGCACACTTTCATGACAGTTTCTTAACACATTTAAAGGGTTAGTTCACCCAAAAATGAAAATTCTGTCATTAATTACTCACCCTCGTGTCGTTCCAAACCCGTAAGACCTTCGTTCATCTTCGGAATGTCACACATTCCATGTATGTAACTACCACATTCAAGGACCAGAAAAGAAATGTCCAAATCTAGTACCAGTGTTCTAGTACACAGTTTTTAATAAAGAAACCTCATTAAATGCTTGATGTGCTTGTGTCTATATATTTCAGTCCAATGACCTGTGTTCGGACCAGAGTGCTTGTAAACACATGATATAATGCCAAAGATGGATAAGAGGTTGCAGTGAGTCAGCAGGACGTTGGGTGTGTGAAGTGTGTTTGATGGAAGGGTTGTTTTTTCCACAGCACTGTAATGGAATTTGTGCTTCAATGACTTACTCATCGGGACAAGCAAAACAGAGTGTGAGGATATGTTTACAGAAAAAGATATTATAGCAACACAGACACATTATAAACTCTTACAAGAACCATCTTCAAGAATACAAGACAAGTCTCACTTAGAAAAGCTTTAGAAATGTTCCTATTCAACATTTCCAACACCATGGACAATCTATTAAGTTGAGGCAATGCAAGTCTTCATCTTGCACATGCTGGTGTCAGAAGAGTGTGGAATCGGCTGCGCTTCACAGAGCCTGCGATCTGCAGCTCTGCAGCAACACCCCCTATACAGGTCAAAAGGTCACGCGCATTCCTCATGAGGATGTCCTGAGAGCATGGGTTCCTGCGTCATCACACACGTTAGAAAACACACTGCACTTGCACTTTGAAACCGCAAGAACCACTGTGTGTATGTATGTGTGACATCTGGAACACTCATCTACATACTGCATCATAAGAGTTGTAGGCTTTGTCCCAAAACCTAGTGAGCTACGGAGACAGCATTTTAAGGCACTCTCCCAACAGAAATGCCGTTTCCAACTGCCTAATTTGAGCCAAATTGTAGATTCATAAAGAAAAATGCAATGCCAGAATGCACTGTGATGACAAATTTGTCCAAAATAGTCAATAAGGGAAGAGAAATATAAATATATAAATAGAATTCATTCAGTACAGAAAAGTATACCGTCAACTTCAAAGTGACATTATTACCGTCGGTCTTTGTGTAGCACTGTGTCCAAACCAAACATACCGTGACATCGCAACACACAATAAAAGGTTTCTTTTTCATGTTAATCAGATTTTTTCCTAACCATCTCATGAATGATCTCAGGCATTTTTGTGTATTGTACAATATCAGAATTGTTTGAGATGGAATATCATTTTTGTGTGACTTTAATAGTTAGCTGTTGAAATGGGTACTG